AAGAGGAACTGATGTAATTATTATTTAATACTATACGATATGGGCTATGTATAGTATACATGTGAGTGTGTTATGAAAATGAAAATAAAAATATTTATAAAAAATAAGAAAAAAGAATATAAAACAATCATGTTACTAACTTAACAACTGCCATGTTTCACTTAACAACTATAATAAAAAGGTCGTAAAATGGGGCAAAATTCATTTAACAAATATTTCACTTAGCAACAGAAATTTTAGGTTCAATTGTGGTCGTACGTTGACATGTAATAAATGCAGGATAAAATAAAATAATGAATTCTCAAGCCATTTCTCTATACAACACAAAGCATTCTTTATGCCAGGAAATGGAAATTTCAGAAGAGAAATATAACATGAGGTACCAGATACATCCAACTAGTATTTCATTAAGTCTGTCCGTCTTTGTATCAGAAGCATCTATAAAGCTAACCAAAGGTAAAAATCCCATTAATAATTTATTTCTGTTACATGTATTTTATCCAGAAGCAGAATTCCACTTAGCAATACTTATACAAATTAAAGCCACATTCAAATGAAGAGGCAAAATTCAGGAAATGTTTTACATTCTGTAGCTATCCTCAGTTATAAAAAGAAAAGGAGTTCGTAACAATAACCTTCCCTTTGAGGAAACTGAGCTGAATGCTCTAAATAGATTCTTGATTTTGGAAGCAGAAAGACTCTCTCTCAATTAAAGAAGCAAGCCCCAAATGTAATCTTGTAGTTATTCTCCTTATAGGACCTAAACCCCATTAGTGTTCACCAAAAATAAACGCTGGTAAATAAGAGAAAAAAATGCATCAGATTTAATTTGGCAAAACTTTGAAGTGAAATGGAAATGGAAAGGAAGGGGAATCCCAGAATGATGGGCAAATAAACACCTAGAACCATGTTTCTCCACCTTGACAAGTTGAAGATATGTGGGTATGTGGACTTCACAGCTTGCTGGGGAATTCTGGAAGTTGAAGTCCACATATCTTCAAGTTGCCAAGGTTGAGAAACGCTCAATATTCAGTACCAGCTCCTTAGTTACAGAGCTTCTCTCAGCTCTGTTCAAATTTAGAACTGCTTTTCTAGAACTATTTGATGACTACCCAAGAGTTCCCTGTAATCTTTTCCTTTATTTGCCATAAGGTTTATTTCCAAATGGAAACAGACTGTTCTGTTCAGGCCTGCATAAAACTAAAGCAACAAAGCCACACACCATCACACACACACACACACACACACAAAAGGCAGGAAAGATTAGCATATTCTACTGGACAACAATTTATCTCACATTTTTGAAAGCAGCAGAAAGTAGACACGATATCCAGCCAATGTGTAAATTACGTTTGAAAACCACTGACTGGATGGAGAAGTGGTTTTATGTTATTATGTGATGCTCCTGGATAGTGGGAGAAATGGGCAAGCGCACACATGTGAAGCTCCACTCGCACAAGCGGGGAGGTGCTCACGCATGACGCTCCAGTCACATGAATGGAGCTTCACGTGTGAAAGCCAAGTGCCTGCTGCTCACATGAGGGGAGCTTTGCATATGAACGCAAGCATCCTCCACTCGCGCATGAAGCTTCATTTAATTAGTGACTATTCAAAGTTACGACAGCACTGAAAAAATATGACCATTTTTTCACACTTAACAACCATTGCAGCATCCCCATGGTCCTGTGATCAAAATCCAGACACTTGGCAACTAACTCATACCTTTGAAGTTTGCAATGTCCCCGGATTGTGTGATCCCCTTTTGTGACCTTCTGACAAGGGAAGTCAATGGGGAAACCAGATTAGGTTAACAATGGTGCTACTAACTTCACAACTGTACTGATTCATTTCACAACTGTGGCAGGAAAGGTCATAAAATGGGGCAAAGTTCACTTAACAACTTTCTCACTTAGCAACAGAAATTTTGGGTTCAACTGTGGTTGTAAGTCAAGGACTACCTATATGAAAAAAAAACCAAGAAGTTTTGCACATCCCTGCCCATTGCCAATTATGGTGATTGCATATCTCTGAGTTATCCACGTTAAAGATAACAGGTTAATAACCTCACCTCTCCATCACACAAACACAGGAAACAGACAACATTCTTGGTATCTGTCTGTATACACATGTCTGAAGGTCATCGGCCTTTGCTCAGAGTAATCAACATGATACAGGGAGGAAAATTTCCCCCTCCACACTGAAGTGATAAGCAGCTCCCCAAATGACTTTAGTTAGTAACAGGAATTGCAGTTGGCTGATTTGTGCCCATTTTATTATTTTTTAATAGCTGGTCTCAGTCAGCCAGATGTTCAGAGTGGATTTGACATTTTTATCCACCTGTCAGTCCTTCCCAATGAACCGGGATAGGCAGATGTTGATCTGATAGTGTTAGAGGTATTGTTGAAGGGTGTAGCTGTTCAAGACGCCTTTTGCAATCAACGGATGGTGATTGTGTTAATGTCAAGTGGGGTCTATGGCAATTCGCCATGACCAACAGGCCACAGCGCAACTCACTGCGGGACAAGTGTTACCCTAATATCAAAGAAAAGGTGGAATAGAATCATTAAAGAAAGGATGCAAAAAGAGGGACAGAATGAAAAGTGAATGGCAAAAATTAAAATAATTATTTTAAATAATTAGAATTGTTAAAACTGTCCTGCAGCGAGTTGGCCTGTGGCAAGTTGGCCATGGAGAGTTGGCTGCAGAAAGTTGTCCTTTTCGGGTTCAGGTGGTGCCCCAGTTGCTTTGGGATTGCTCTCAAGGCACACATTACTATTGTGACTATATTTGCTTTTTTTTTTTTTTTTACTACAGTTCTATTTCTATCTGCAGAGCCTTCTATTTTGTTCTCTCTCTTCTATTCTGTTGTCTCCAGGTACTGCCCTGTCCACTATCCAGAACTTTTTTGTCTGTCTTATTGATAATTGTCAGGTCTGGGGGAGGGGGGAGGGGTTATGTGACAGGTGCCTGTCTTGAATTGTAAAGTCACAAAGCACTTTAACATTTTCATTTTCTATTATTATTTTTATGCGTCATCAAATTTATTTATTCCCCATATCGCAGTTCAAGGCAATTCTGTGCCTAGCTGTATTTCACCCCCCCCCTTCCAATTCAATCATGTCGAATTTTCAGAGACTATCCAGACAAGTCCCTGCAATTTTCTAGCAAGGCCCAAACTTCCAGTTTTATTTTAGCCTCCTGTTAACAGGAGCAAGCTCCAAAGTACAAGCACTTCCATTATGAAGAGCATCCTAGCAGATTGCTTGCCCAGTCTTAATTTAGGAAAACATGTCAGAAGGTTGTGTGGGGGGGGGGGAGATTAAAAAATACTA